TTCCCCCCCCCCCCCTTTCTCTCTCTCTCTCTCTCACACACACTCTCTCTCTCTCTCTCTCTCTCTCTCTCTCTCTCATTCTCTCCTTCGCCCTCTCCCTCTCTCCATCTTTTTGGGCACTTCTCTCACTTTCTACACTTCTCACCTTCCTTCATTCCTTCCCAATAGTCCCTCTCCCTCTTTCCCCCTCTATCATTTTTCTATTTTTTGTTCTCTTATTTTCCTTCCTCTTAACGCAATCTCTCGGTGCCCTCCAAAACCTCTCTCTGGGTCCTCTTTGTACACCCCTCATCCTCCCCCTCTCTCAGTCTCTCACTCTCTCCACAAGTATTTAGCTGAACTGTGCTCTGCCCTCTTGCCGTCCACAGAACCCATGTCAAGGCCACATTTAGGCCAGCCTGCTTGTTACCTCGGATTGTGCAAGGCCATCCCCCAAAAAAACCCCAGCCAGTTAAAATGCAACTAAATTCCTCTCCCCCTCTTCCGTTATTCTCCTCCCCTTCCCCCCACCCCTTCTTTTGTCCTTCCCTCCCCCCCCCATCCTACCCCCTTTCTCCCCCGCTCCCCATTTCCTCCCACTTTCTCTATCATCACACTCTCCACTTTTCTATTTCTCTTTATCTCCAGCGAGAAATAACAATAATGATATTTTTCTTTCTTCGCCCAACCCGTCATCATCATCTCTCCCTTCTCCATATTTGCTTGCCTTCCTTTTTTTTTTTTACCCAGGTCGCCCAATCTTCATTTTCTTGTCACAACTCCTTCTTCTCCTCTTTTTCATTTTCCCATTTATCTACTTTCTCTTTTTTCACCGTTCCATATTAAATCTATCGCTTCACATTCTTTTCCGAATCAATTCCCCAGAGTTTTCATTACAGGAGAAACACGTTTTTAATCTTTCCTCTTGCTGCTCCCATCGGTATCTCATGTTCTTCACCTCACCCACGAGCCGTTTCGACTTTCTATCCACCATATATACAGGTCTAGGATCTTTTTCATCTAAAAGCTATCCCCATTCCGCTTGTCTGCCAGTCTATGTGTTTGACTGTCATTCCGTCTCTCACATCTACACACATTCTTATACCGATACACATTTGTTAGGACCGTGATGTCATCCTAATTCGTTCGACAATAATAAAAACTAATCACAGGGCTCAAGAATTCGCTAGAAAAAGAGTATTCATCTAATAAACATCAACATTCTTGAACTTTCCTGAAAAAAAATTGAAAAATGTTTCGTAATTTAGTTCGTATTGCCTTTAATACCATACTATTTTTTTCAACAGGTTGAGAAAATTCTTTACAAGAATTATTTGAAAAAGTGTCGTACAGGTGTATTCAGCTATACATTTTCATGTCTAAAACAGAAGACTTCCCTGACACCGCTCGCTCTCTCTTTCGCCATCTCTCTCTCCTCCTCTCACCCCCTTTCTTTCTTTCTTTCTTTCTTTCTTTCTTTCTTTCTTTCTTTCTTTCTTTCTT